GAGTACTGCATTCAGCACTGAGCTTCCTTGTAGCTAAAGCAAAAAGGAAGCATTTTGTTCAGTGTCATTCTCATCTTTGTGAGTTGGGAGAACATGTTACCTTAACAAATGAGACAAAATTTTTTCTTACCACTAAATTATCAGATGACTTAATTTGATAGCTCATTATTAAAGACTGAACTATTAGATGAAGCACATAAAAATGCCCTTTTTATAAGTCAGAAAGAGTTGAATACTGCCAATTTTACACGGTTCAACCTAGTACATAATGGCAATTATCTTCAAACAGTGATGTTATAGAAGATGTCAGACTCTTAATATGACTTATTCTTTAAAAACTGATGGCATAATATAGAATGCATTTGAATCAAGACATTTCTCTGAAGACTAATGTAGGTTTATATTTTTCTTACTATTAAGACAGAGCTTAAAACTCTATAGCAGAATGAAGATTAGTATGATTTCATAGATTTTTCTCAAATACCAATTAAGGCTTTTGTCAGAAGCTGAGTAACTGTTAACTGAAGATTGCATATTCTATCAAGTGGTTCACATTTATTGTTAATTCATTAAGGGGCAATAATCCATAAGTTTTAGCTACCAGAGATGGCAGCTGATTAGGTTGGCAGTGGCGAAGTTAAATATAAAAGCCTGTGTTCTTGACCTACTTGAGGGTCATTTAACCTTTTACATATTGTTGGGATGCTGTACTGTAGACGGACTATAGCTATAGCTAGACATTTTTCTCCAGAAGATAAGATGCTGTGCCCTCTGTTTCTTTGTTTCCCTGAGTAGTTGCCAATTTGTTTATTCCTATAGCATATATACTGATAGCACAATAAAAACTATGTAATCAGTAAGGTCAGAGATAGATTAAAACTCTTACATTCTAACAGAGGAAATAAAACACATGCAGATTTGTAGAAAATGTTAAATATAGTAAGTGCATAAGAGAAATGTTAATAAAGTGAGCAAGTCTTCTGGAGGAGAGTTTGCTTAACCTAGAAAGCATAAAGGAAGAATTCATGGAAGTGGTGGCATTTAAACCAGACTTGAAGGCACGATGAGTAGAGTAGGATGAATTCGTATTTGGGGAGGCAGACAGTAAATTATTAAGGATGAGATACAAGCACTCTTTAGTGTAACTGACGGATGCTAGTATCTTATTAGATATAGAGAGATTCGGAAAGAAGGAACGGTAAGATATAACATTAAAGTTTTCAGTGTGGGTAACTGTAAGGATTACGACACCAAGTTGCAAGAAGAAATAGATTTTCAGAAAAGATAATGAGTTACTTTTGACATATGTTCCCAAGAGGCATTTGAAAATATAGATCTGGAGCTCAAAATACAAATTCAGGAAGATTTTTAAGGATGAAGAGAAAAGAAAGCATGTATCTGATCCTTTGAAGATGCCTACATGTAACAAAGGTGTTCCAGGTTAGCCTGGCAGAGTGAACACCTGCATTTATCCTCCACTCTCTCTTGAAAGCCATTAAAATGATTATAGAGGGCTAAGAAGGTGTAAAGAACTAGGACCAAAAAGATGGAAAGAAATCAGCAGCGGACAAGAGATGTCAGCAGATTTTTAGAAGATGGAAAACAGAAAGCTAAAGTATCTACAGCAGGAGGAGTTAATTGAAAACAAACTGGTGAGTGCTTCAGAACCTTGGAAAGACCCAAGACTGCAGGGTGCGTGGTAGGATTGAACACTGTGGAATTTTTATATAAGTTTATATAAGGAGTAGCTAGAGCCCAAGTTCACCCCTGCCTCATCTCTACCATGAATGAAACTAGAGATTTTTTTGTCTGAAGAGGTCAAATGATGGAGGCTGTGGACTTAGGGATGCCAGGCACAGCTGAAAATAGGAGGTTGGAGGGTTCCCTTCTAGGAAATGGATTAGTCTACAAAAAGAAAAACTAGAGATACTGCTACAGTGAGGTTCCCTCAGCAAAATGGTCACCACATCCTCCCCCGCCCCCCAGTGGTGCAGCCACCAGTAAATGCCAACATGCCTACAGTTTCTAATCAGCTGTTAGGGGCCTCGCTTTTAAATATTAATGGGCGTACTGACTTAGAAATATTTATCAAACTAGATATGTATGTACACTTAGAGTTTTTAAAGTTTATTTAAAAAACAAAATATGAATACAACAAGGTAATTCAAGAAAATATCCCAGAAGTGAAGGACATGAGTTTCCAGATTGAAAGCAGCCATCAGGATTCTAGCACAGTGGATGAAAACACCCATACCAAGGCACAATGCTGTATTCAGACTCCTTGGGGTAAAGGAAAGATTGAACAGCCTCCAAAGAGAGAGGGAATAAAAGTCTTGGAATAATGATCTGACATCAGGATGGCTTCAGATTCTTCAAAAACAACAGTGAAAGCTAGAAGCAGTGGAGCGGTTCATTCAAAATTATGAGAGAAAATTAATTCCAACTTAGAATTTCAAGTTTCTAGCCATGCAAGGTCTCAAAAGTCTACTTTCTAATTAGTTAATGCCTTGGAGGATATATGCTATCAAAACTGAGTATAAACCAAAACAGAAGACATGAGATGTAGGGAACAAGTGAAAGGAAGATCAAGAGGGTTATCAGTCTAGATTGAATGTGACAGAAGGCTCCGGAGAGATTTTCTCAAGATTAAATTTATAGGATGTTTCTACCTGAGTATTTTAAAAGGAGATTTAGACAATTGAAGATTTTGGTGTATTATTAGTAATAAATACAAGGCAGTCTGCTTTTTAGGTGAGGGGAGGAATTATGTAAGAAAAGAAAAGCCTGAATAGCTTTCAGCTAAGGGGGAATTGCTTAACTTGAAGCCTTTTGTCTGGAGTCTGGATTGTTTTGCAAAAATAGGTAAATAGTATCACTGTGCCACATTTGTCTGGTTGCAAGAAAGAGAAATATGCTCTTTTAGAATGGATTTGTTTTCTCCAAGAATTGTCCTTTCATTGGTTTTTAGTGTAATAGGAGTTGATAGAAAGCCCCTTATGCTACAAGAATTCCAAGAGACCTATCTGTACCTCAGTATCTACATCCATTAACCTAGGTCTAATTCAGCTCTCACCGAATCTCAGCTTGGTTCTGTTGCGTCTTTATTTGAAGGTCTGATAAATTGAGAAAAGTGTACGTGTTGAAGATACATTTCTATCTGTTTTTCTGAGTTCGTATATATTAGACATTAAATGGCTATGAGAAATCACAGGTTAGTTGGAATCATAGTCCTCTTAATAAGTTTGTTATTGAAAGAGAAACACCATAAAGACCAAGTTTACCACCACAGTTTGTATGCTTTCACTGGCAAAATCTCTATAGCAGAAACTATGTTTTGTTTGTCTTTCTGTGAATCTTGCTTGTGTACTTTTTTCCCCCTTCCTGTCTCTTAAAATTCAAACTTTGAATATAATAGCAAAATTCTGGAAAACTATATAAGAATATGTCAAGGATCTTAATCAAAGCTCTGGAAAAAATTTTATGTACAGGGGTGTTTATTACTATTATAAAAATAGTTACTGCATGTTCAATAATAGTTGGACAGTTAAGTAAATTATGGCACATCCACAGTGGATATTATGGAGCCATAGCAGTTATGGACTCTTCATAATAGAATATTAAATAGGCTATTATGTGCACATATACGTATGTATAAATAAAATGTGTAGATAAACATCTTCATGTGTATTTCAACATCATAAACATTGTTTTTACTTTTGTAATCAGAAAAACAATCTTTTAAATAAATTAAACTGCAACCATATTTTCCTGCATCACATTTAGTTGCTGTTTTTGTGCCTAGAATCAAGAGGAAAGTTTTTTGAGCTGCAAGAAAATTTAGAGGTCATTCAGTCCAACAAAACCACCACAATCCATTTCTTCTTCCTACACGCATTCCCAATGCTAAAAGTCTCTTTAGAACACACAGAGTATTTTGTCTTAAAGTCTTTTCTTAATCTTGTCAGTTGATGGGCAGCTAGCTCGCTGCCTCAAAAGGCCAACCCATGCCACTGTTCAAAAGCTTTTTTTATTGGAAAGATCTTTCTTATTTTCAGTTAAAATCTGCTTCACTGTGAGTTCCATTCAGTGATCCATGTTTGCCCTTTGGAAATATACAGTCTTCTGCATAAATGTTCACTGAAAATACTTGTATTTGTCAGGCTAAACACTGTAAGTTTGGGTACTATTCTTTCTATGACAGCGGTCTGCTTGCCTTCTCTGGAACTGAGTGCATGGTTTTCTAGACTGAACACTGTATTTAAGGTGTGGTTAAACCAGGGCGGGTTACCTGTCCCTTCTGTGGTCATTATACTTGCATCAGTGCAAAATAATACTGTTTTCTATTTTCTGCTAACCCTGTCAATATAGCTTGAAATTTTTCTGTAGGTCTTGTTTTTGGGGGGGGGATGAACTAAGATAATTATTTTCTCTCATATTTGGAATGATTTTTCTGAAATTTACTTCATTTTATCTTTATCCTTATTAAACTTTATTTTGTCAGGTTTAACATATTCTCATTTGTTGAAATTTTGAACTCTTGGAGTTTTTCATCTAATGTTTTAGCTATTCTAGCTTTGTGTCACTCACAGATTTAATAAATGTCTTTCTCTATATATCCAATTAATCATATGATACAGACATCTAACCATGTATTCTCAACCAGTACGTATTTACCTGTTTTATCCCAACTCTTTCCCTTAGTAGCTGTGTGACTTTGGACAAGTTACTGAATTTTCTGCCTCAGTTTTATCATATGTAATAAGGGAGTTAATAACAGTGTTACTTGAAAGAGTTGTTGTGGAGATGAATATAGCGAAGCATTTAGAATTACACCCGGCAGGCACAAAATACAACGTAGCAGGTGGAGAGTCTCAGGACAGTAGGGCTGGCAGCCAGGGAAAAAAGCTAGATGTGAAGCAAAGGAGGACAAGGACAAACTGGAACTCACAAGGACAAAGGATCCCATATCTGTTCTCACGGCCTCCAGCTTTGATAAGCAGCTGATTTGCAGAAGAAGTTGGCACCTGTTGCCACGGGGCTATCCATGCCTGGCTTAGGAATCGGAAAAATTGCTGAGGAGCTCCGACAGGAGCTGCAGGTGCTGCAGGTCTGGCCACCGGCCCGCCCTCCAAGGTGAGCCAGGCGATCACTGGCAAGTGTGTAATGTTACTAACGGCACATGGCAGCGCTGCACTCGCCTGAAAGCAGAGTGGGGTCTGCTTTACTGCAGCCTCCAAATCATGTGCGTGCATAGGTTTTTGTAGCCAGCCCTAACTTAGAACCATGCAGAGAAAGTGGTCCTGACAAATGTAGTTCCAGCTCAGCTGTGGTTGACAAAGTACGCAATCATTGCAGGAGACAAGCCCTTCCAGACAGTGAAAGAAACTATAAGCTACTTTATATCCCATAGTATGCAATATCTGTATATAAAAGACCATTTAAAAACTGTTATAAAGCTATAATAAATACAAGTAGTGATACAAGAGTAAATGGAACAGTGGAAGAGTTCAGAAATAGGCCCACTTATATGTGAGAATTTCATCTTCGAAGAAAAGCAGTCCAGATCATTGAGGAAAAGTTAGATTAGTTAATAGATGATGTTAGGAAAACTATTCATTAGGAAAGAATCCTGGAAATTCAGCTGGATCTCTGGTAGATACCAAAACTGATCTTAATATAGATCATGCTTTAAATATAAAAAATGAAATAAAATCATGAAAAAAATTGGAAGTGTTTTTTTCCCAACTCTGGGGGTGAAGATGGCATGACACAAAACCCAGAAACCACAGAAGAAAAGATAAAACATTTTAGCCACTTGAAAATGGGAAAGATCTACAAGGGAAAAAAAAAAAACACACTAAGTTAAAAAAAATGGCACACTGGGAAAACATTTGCAAAACATTTGATAGTGGGTAAACTTTCTTAAACTCTGAAATTAAGGAAAAAATACTAAGTTAAAATAAGTAAAGGCAGTTCACTGAGAATATAGATGGAAAATACCATAAACACATGAAAAATAAATGTTTGATCCACTCAGAAATGACATAAAATTAATAATCAGATGCCGTGTTTTACTATCTACTTAATTCAGATTTTAAAAATTTGTATTCTGGTGTTGGCAAGGATGTAAGGATCTAGTCATTTACACGGGGTGAGAGTGCTTGTTGTTTGATGTGGGTGGTAGAATCTTTGGGAAAGTTAGCCTATTGAAATATTAAGTTCACCTTAATTTTGCCCCAGGAGTCCTACTTCTGTTGTAGAACTGTCCTGAAGGTATACTCCCGCAGGTGAGGAGGACAGATGAAAAGATGCTCCTTGATTCCACGTTGTTGACATTCTTTGCTCCTATACTGAATAATTAAGTGCTGCATACAGCTCCTGCTAGACCACTTTCCCCATGCATTTGATCTATACCTGCCTACACCTTTTCGCTTACATGTCCTTATTCTTGCTGTCCCTTCTGCGTGCAGTGCTCATTCCTTTTTTTTTTTTATCCCTAACAAAATCCCATTACTTTTTCAAGGCCTAGTTCAAAAACACTGTGAATCCTCTCCAACACTAAGGCAGAATTAATCCATCCTTAGGTATACTCATGATACTTCCCTTGTCCTGATAGTCTACAGGAAACATTAATACCTTCAGTGCTTAGTTTCATGTTTGGGTTAGAGTATACACTCAACAAATGTTTGTTGAACTGTACAGAATTAACAGCTAATTCTTGTCATATTAAAATTGGTTGTGTAAACTTCTGTCTCCTCTATATTGTGCAGCTCCTCAAAAATCAAGACTAATGTCGTTTTTAATGTAGTTTATTTTTTAATTATAAAAATAATATGTGGATATAGCAAGATGAATTAAATATTAGTATGGAACAGAAAAAATGAAAAAGAAAAGTTTCTCTGTTATTCCACATCCAGTCTCACTTCCCAAAGATAACTATTATTAAACAGTTCTTGATGTATCCTTTTTAGAAGTTTTCCGGGTATAACCAAACATATAAAAAGACATATTTATAATGTATATCCTTTTAATAGCCTTTTTTTCCCCTACAGAGGCATAGTATACCTACTGTTCTGAGACTTGCTATTTTCATTTTACTCTTTATCTAAAAAAGTTTTCCATATGGACACATAAATCAATGAGGAATATATCATTTGTTTAATCAGTACTTTATTGTTGGATATAGAAGTTGGTTCTAGTTTTTTGCTGTTATAAACAACGTTTCAGTGAACACCCTTGTACATATAACTCTGCTTCTTGTATGAATATAAATATTGGCTAGATTCCTAGCAGAAAGATGGCTGGGTCAGGGGGCATGTGCATTTGAGTAATGATCATTTTAGAGAGCTAAATTCACAAAACTTCTCATAGATAGAAAGATCTGGAAATTCGGGGGGGCGGAAATGTTTTGAAAATTAGCTGATCAGAAACATTAGAATCAAGAGAATATTCTGAGAAGTAACAAAACAGTAGTTGATAGGTGAAGTAAGCTTTGAATGATCTGGCTTTTTAAAAGTCAATCTTAGAATAAATCACTTAAATTTTCTGTAGGTTAAGAACACAGATAAAAAGTCAAACAGGTTCTTAGGAAATTAATGGGGATAAAAGTTTCAGCATTTGCTCACCCTTTCAAACTATCATTTCCTGGGATCCTTAATTCCACCTCTTCATATGTATCTGAGCTCTTTGTCCTTATCTACTAAGTAAATGGTGATCAGAATATAGAAATTATACAGTGTAGTATATGAAATAATTCATCCAACAGATGCTAAAGGGCCTCATACGTGCCTTTGCTGTCTTATGTGCTGGGGATACATCCATGAATATAATAGAGAACAGTCTTGACGTCAAGGAACTTAGAAATTGCATTCCTACTCTCCTTAACTTATAATTGCTGTATTTTTTGAGTGCCTGCCCATAAAAATAGGCCCTGTGTGTGTATATCATCTGTACTTTCCATTATTCTCTCCCCTTGCCCTGCTCTATTTTTTTCAGCACTGTTACCACCTGATACATATATTTGTTTTTTAATCTCTCTCTCCCAGTAAGTAGAATGTAAGCGCATAACTTTGGGAACTTTTCCTTTTAACTGCTCTCACCTCCCTAGCACCCAGCACACAGTGTATGAGGCACTCAATAAATACGTGTTACATAAGGGAGGAGTTGGCTGTTTGCCTCTGTATGCTGACACTCTTAAGTAGTAGTTTGTTTTTCAGCTTTATTGAGATCTAATTGACGTACAGTGTTGTGAAATAAGGTGTACAGTGTGATTATTTAATACATTTGTATATTGCAGTGTGATTACCACCTGCAGTGTTAGCTGACACCTCCATCATGTCACATAACCATTTCTTTTTTGTTGTGAGAGCGTTTAAGAGCTCTCTTAGCAGCTTTCAAATATATAATACAGCATTGTTAACTGTAATCACAATGTGATATGTGAGATCCCCAGAACTTACCTTCAAACTGAAAGTTTGTACCCTTTGACTAACATCTCTGCAGTACCCCCAGCCCCACTCCTCAGCCCTTGGTAGTCCCCATTCTGCTGTTTCTACAGGAGTATGGCCTTTGAAGATTTCACATATGGATATCATACAGTCTTTGTCTCTTCTGACTTACCTCACTTAGCATAATGCCCTCAAGGTCCATCCATGTTGGAAATGGCAGGATTTCCTTCTTTCTCACGGCTGAATGGTGTTCCTGTGTCTTTGTATGTACAGACCACATCTTCTTTCTCCGTTCATCTGTTAGTGGACACTTAGGTTGCTTCCATATCTTGGCTATTGTGAAGCTTAGCTAATGGTGCAGTAAACATGGGAATGCACATATCTCTTTAAGATCCCAGTCTCATTTCCTGTGGATATATACCCAGAGTAGGATTGCTGGATCATATGGCAGTTCTATTTTTAATTTTTTGAGGATCCTCCATACTGCTTTTCACAGTGGCTGCACCAGTTTGCATTCCCTCCAACAGTGCGCAGTGTTACCCTATTCTCCACATCTCTGCCACTGCTCTCTTGTCTTTTGATGACAGCCATTTTAACAGGTGTGAGTTGATACCATTGTGATTCTGATTTGCATTTCCCTGATAATTAGTGATGAACCATCTGCATGTGCCTGTATATCTTTTTGGGAAAAATGTCTATTTAGTTCCTCTGCCCACTTTTTAATTGAACGGTTTCATTTTTGTTATTGACTTGTAGGAGTTATTTATATGTTTTCTATGTTAACCCCTAATCATATATATGATTTGCAGATATTTCTCTGATTCAGTAGGTTGTCTTCCATTTTTTATTTTCTTTTGTTATGCAGAAGCTTTTTAGCTTGATGTAGTTCCATGTATTTATTTTTGCCTTTGTCGTCTGTGCTTTTGGTATCATAACCAAAAAATCATTGCCAAGACACATGTCAGGGAGCTCTTTCTCTTTGTTTTCTTCTAGGACTTTTGCATTTTCAGGTCTTAAGTAGTTTTTAATCATATTGTTTTGTCATTTCTAATTGTATTTTTTTAAGTTTTTATTTAAGTAATCTCTACACCCATTGTGGATCTCGAACTCATGACCCCGAGATCAAGAGTCGCATGCTTTTCCAATTGAGCCAGCCAGGTGCCCCTCTAATTGTATTTTTAAGGCATTCCTGATCATCCTATATAAAATTTCAGATTGCTCCCTTTTTTCCCTTTCATTTCCCCTTTAACTTTTCTCCATAGCACCCAACTTCTAACATACTATATAATTTCCATAGGCTTTCCCCAACCTAAGAGTATAAATTTCATGAGGAGAGTGAGTTTTGTATATTTTAGTTATTGTTGTATCTCCATATTCTATGGTGGGAACACACATACTTGTTTCAGAATTAAGTATTTGTTGAATAAAGGATTGAATTATTTGATATCAAGAGAGACAGCTGAAAAACAGCAATTTTATAAGATCTTACAAAAATGGGAGCAGGAGGGAGAAGAGAATAAGAGACCTATTTTATTTATTGGTTGAGGCTCTGGGCTTGAACTCGGAATTCAGTTTGTGCTAGTAGATTATTACCAGTGAATGGGTGAGGGAATTAATGAAATAAGAAGAAAAGGCCCAAGGCAAGCTGTGGGAAGTGGGGGAGTCAGGACAGTGAATTGTTTTCAG